GCAAAAAAAAAACACGGGTTCCGAACTTATGGGCGTGGCAGTCATATTTCAAAATTAGAGAATCTTGCATTCTCTGCATAGGCTGCGGAAACCCTTACGCTCGGGTTCTGTTTGGTGCCATGAGGATCTGGATGGAAATTCTCGCAAGGCTTCCACAGCAGTTGTACAACAAATGTCGTACCTGTGCGGGAAATGACTCCAGTTTGGCTTTGAATATGTTGAATCTAGAGCGTGCGTGAATGAGATCACAGATGGGAGCTGCATCCGCTCACCAAATCCGAAAAACAAAGGTCACTCCTGTGGTGATCAGTACAGGGCGCAAGAACTGATAGTGCGATCTTATATGTGTAACTTCATTATTCTAATCCCTAAACCCTAAACCCATCCCTAGGCCCCAAACCCTACATAACCCTAAACCCTTAGTGGGGCCCTCATGCACTGAAGTGCCCTCATCACGGGAAGTGACCGCACCCCCTTGCCAGCGGCATGCTAGTAGTCATCCTGCCGTAGGTGTGAAAATGGCCAGTATTATAATAGGAACCTTACTGTATAAGGACCCGTTTTATAATGAACCTAGGGAAACCCCCACATGCTCCCCATAGAACCCATAGCTTTTTGTTCATGACCCCTTTTCTTTTCCATTTGAGTCTCCCTTCTGGTGCCCCATACACCCCTATAGACCGCATTAAAACCCTATGAGGGAATGCAATCCTCGAAGCGAAGTGAGTCTGTGACAAGCAGATGCCAAAGTCCCGGTACCAAACGCGCAAAGGCTTCCGAAACCATTGTAGAACATGTTCTCTGGTTGTACATGGACTCTTTGGGGAGAATGTGGGGGATAACCACATTGCTTAGCTACAGCACACGGGGAATAGCTAGACCCCACACCTTGAACTCGTACCCTGGCATCCCTACGCCCTTAGAGCCTAACGAATCCAAACTCACAAACATTTGTGCAACCAAAACCCTGAATCCTAGACCCTAAACCTATAAGAAAATCTGGACCGCATTGTCCAGTAGCTGACATTGCTGTCGCTGGGGCACTAGCCATTCCGGCTTTTTCTGTACCTGGCCGCTTCAGGCTCAAGGGTGCGCTTGGGGCACCCT